TTCAATATTATTAAATATTTAATGTAAAAATATTAAAATTATAAGTTATAGCTGTTATTAAAGTGAATATTTTTAATATAGCGAAAATTCTCAATACGAGACTTAGACTAGATTTTCTTCATTGTCATATCGATACGTCTTATCATATCGAGGCAGGCCTCCTCGTGATTATAAGTCACGATTTGTTTCGACTTGAAAGAGAAAGCAGACTGCAATTCCCGATGAAATTTAATTTCTTTATATATAAAACTCGTTAAATAAGTAACGATTAATAACAGTAAAACAGGTCTAGAGCAATATTCGTACAATTGCTTACCAGGTTGTAAGTATAAGTGCTTCTGTAACAAGAACATTGAGAAGCAAATCGTAAGCCAAGGGATTAATCACAGTGCTGGGAACGAAAGACCCTACCTGTTATTTATCGTTCCCTGCAAACACTGTCATTTTGTCACATATATTATTGATCGTCATCGATGTTCATGCGTTCCTCGAGCATTCTAAATCGATCTTACGTACCTAGGAACGATCGTATTATCGCCTCGTTAACATGGCTCGCTTGATAATGTATCACGCGGGTAAATTGATAAAAAGAATTGAACGGTCGTGCGTCTGAAAAGTGCGAGTCGTGTATAAATCTGACACGAGAGTCATGAGTCAGAAACGCGAGGAGGAGTACAACGTCGTACATGGATTGTGTTCACGAGCACGTTTTTATTGCGCTCATCAACCGTGCGTAGTTTTTATTATTCTGGCTTTATTAAGTCGTACTGTGTTCTCAACTGCCAAGCTAGAATTGCGTGTGAACGCGAATGAAAGAGACCGAAGCGGGAAATTTGTGTGCACAACAAGAAAGGCACGTGTTTATTCAGTCGAAATTCATTGAAATTCGCAATGCATGTAAATCTATTAGCGAATCTACAAAACCAGTAGGAAAAATTGCGAATAAATTGTACATTTGATCGATCACGATGTTTCTAGCGTTCAAGTTTATATGATGAATCTGGAAGATTAATATGAGAAATTACGGATTGTAAATTACACAGCGAAATTTATATCTCTGATGTTAATCGCATCGTTCAAAATTCATTTATCAATGAATCTGGAAAACTATTGCGAAAGATTACATCGTGTCACTAATAAATCTGCAAGACCAGAATGAAAAGTTACATTGAACAATTGAGCAGCGAAATTGATCGTTTCTTTAGCGCCAAGTCACATCACCAAAATTTTGAATCTGGAATATTACTGTGAAAGCTTGCACGAAAAGAGAAAACGAAATTGCAACAAAACGGCGACGATGAATCGCCAAACGAGTCTACAAGGCCAGAATGTGAAAAATTACGTATTTGAATACACTGATAATACTAATATCAAGTATCTCGCCAAAGTTTATTCAAATCTCCAACAATGCGTCACCCATAAATCTACGAAACTGCTCACTCGGATACACTGATAGAACCACTTAGTCAAGTATCTACTACCACGTCTACAAATACTTCACCAAAGTCCATTCAAATTCCCAACAATGCACTATTGTCGATAAATCTACGAAGTTACCGTGAGAGATCACGAACCGTTCATTCGGATACGCTGATGGTTTTAATGCCATTTGTTGTCTACTTGATTCTCTTGTCTACTCGTAGTAGAACAAATATTTGAACACTATACGTAATATAAAAAAAAAAAAAGGGAAAATCCTGCAATAATAAATCTGGACTTTGAGGATGTATAATGATACAAAATATTTCAATTTTCATTTGAGAATTATACGTAATAACACAAGTGAGAATGCGAGAATATTTCAAAATATTTATTATTATTTACATTATGTAACTGATGGCAAAATGAAGACATCTCTCCTTCTCGAAGATGCCGTAAATTGTCGCAGTTGAAGAATTTTTTCTCGCGATTGATTTTGTAGTGAATTTTAAAGATTTAAATCTACCCGGAAACTCCATTTTTTTTTCTCTCTCTCTATTTTATTTAATTTCGAATATTACGAAGGACGAAAATTCAAGAAGTCGCAGTACTCGTCTTGTACTCAACTTGTACTCAACTTGTACTCAACTTGTACTCAATTTGTACTCGACTTGTACTCGACTTGTATTCGACTTGTGCTCAGCTTGTACTCATCTTGTACTCGACTTGTACTCAGCTTGTACTCGTCTTGTACTTAACTTGTACTCGTCTGATACTCAAAGTTTAATCCAAATTGTACAGCAAGTTTTGAGTACTTGAAAGTCCTTGGAAAAGACGATTTACAGCG